TCCTCCTCAAGGCACATACATTTGACACTGATACTACGATATTTACAGTATTGTATTTAATGTCGGCAATTTGTTTTATTTTTTTTTTTTTGTATAGAAATGCACTTTAGTTAAAAATGATGGTCCCTCCATAATTACAAATTTCCCCATTATGGGACTAAGAAAGGTTATCGTATCTAACTGCAAATTTTCACATGGGTGGTTGATAAAGGGATCAAGGATGAAACACGCCACACGCCTGCATGGGGTTGCGGTCAGCGCGAGATGTGAGCTTACCTATGTCAGTGACAAACTCGTAGATATGAGGCTTCTGCAACAGGCCCAGCTGGCACATGCACGTCAGCGCGTTAAGAGCTTTGTAGATGACAAACTCCTCCGTGTCGCTCAGGCCCTGCTGGAGGAGCGGCTTCAAGATGGCCGAGCTCTGCCAGCCCACGTACGCTGCCACTCCTTGACGCCGTCGCACATAAAGACAACATGATGGTTCGTTAAAGGTTCTCAAACTTGGGTTAAACGATAGTTCGCCCGAAAATAAATCAGTCCAATGGCATTTTGAGATGGATATACACCTAACAACTATATTATATTGATGTTATGACAGTTATGGGTTACGACGCAGCCCTTGGACAAATTTCTCCCCCCAAAATGTGAACCTTCGGGTTAGCATTTGGATTGAGACGAACGGGATCTGGTTCTCACCGACGATGCTGTCAAAGAAGGCGCCGCGCAGGTGCCAGTCGTTCTTGTCGTTCAGGAAGGTGATCATGTGGGAGAGCAGCACGTCGTTGGCCTTCTGCCGGCCGAAGAAGACGCAGAGTCGCGTGATGCCGTTCTCCATCAGGGACTGCTTCACCACGTTCTCCGAGTCACTCAGCAGCGTCACCACCTTCTGCTGCACCATCTCGTGGAGCGCCTGCAGCTCTGCAAATTCAGGTCAGGTCTATTCATTTCGATTTAGCTGCTTGTCAACATTCCGTTTTCATGACTTATTTTCATCAGTGGTGTCCTCCTTGGTCTTGTTTAGAGTCCACTTTGGCTCATACAATGACAGACAGTGTGACACTGATGCACATCAACCTTTGAGTGCACCTTTAATTTCTTTGATGGTTATTCTTTTATGTGTCTCTTCAATATGTAATGAATTTTCAGGGTGCTTGGCTACAATTCCGTGGATTCTAAATTTCGAAATATCTGCAGCTGAAGTTACAGGAAACATAAAGCTGCTTGGAGATGGTCTTATATCCTTCAGCTTTAATGTGTCTTGAAATTTCTTTCAAATCTCCTGAAACAATGCTGTCATTCGCTTCCTCTGATCCATGTTTAGTGTAATACAGACGATATCAGCAAACAGCACAATGTCTACTTGTCACCATATAAATACTGTAGCAGGCCAAGTGATTGATTCGAAGTTTGAAGACGCCACAGCGCACCAACCTGAGTCGTAGTTGTTGTTAGGGTGTAGCGTTTCCTCCGCCTCCTCACCGCTGGCGTCGTGCTCCGTGCTTACGTTGTTCTCCTGGACCAACTCCAAGAAGCGGAGGGCGCTCTCTGCGAGGTGTGCAACGTTCTCTGACAACAACAACAACAACATTCTTGAACGCCCAACTTGAAAGACAATTTTGTTGAAACCTCCGAACAAGGTAACCGCTTACCGGCGTACGCCAATCTGACAATGGTGGCGTCGTCCTGCGCCAGGTGGGCGATGCCGGGCAGGATGTACTCCGGGTAGATATTGATGTCATTGCGTGGCACCTCCTTGACCAGCGCTAGCACTTTGGTGAGGGTGCGCACAGCCTGTGCCCGCACGCGTGGCACCGGGTCATTGCAGAAGTGCAGCAGGTATGGCGTGATGCGATCCAGCAGGATGTCCACGCCCAAACGCGGCGCCAGGTGGAGGACCAGCTCCAGTGCCGCCAGCTTGGAGTCGCATGAGTGCAGCGTCTGCAGGCACGACGTGATGACTGATGCCAGCACCATCAGGCCTTGCTGCTCCCTGACTGTCACCACGCCCTCTCCCGCATCCTGGGAGGAACTCGGAGAGCCTGCGTCAGGGACACGCAAGGATGCGTTACCCTACTTGTTCTGAGCAGAACAAAGGTTTTGATTACAGGTTTTTGGCTCCACCCTTTTTCTCTCTGTGATGTGGCGAGCACTCACAGCTGACAATGAGGCGCTCTAAAGCATCCACGACGATGGACTAGGAGAAGGAAGATGCATTTTCATTATGCGGTCACCTCTGAGGTTGTGCAGGATGTTGTCCAGGTCTTTACGTATCACGAGCACTCTCTCGTCGGCCGACTGGAAAGTGTCTTTGGCAAACTGTACCATGTAGGGCAGCAGGAAAGTGTAGAAGATATCGGGGAAGGCTTTTCCTCGCTGCTGCTTCAGATAGTCCTCGGCCGCCAAGCGCCGCTCCGGTTCACGTTGTACCATCTGAGCCACCTGAAGGACATCAGAGACACCATAATTCAGATGTTTGTCCGGGTTTCCGGCGCAATACGTCAAACGGGCCTCACCAGCTCTCGGATGCTGCGGTCTTCGATCTTCTCCAGGACCTGCTCTGTCTGGAAGTGTCCTTTGCGGTATGCCAGCAGCTGGGACAGATCGAATAGCGGGATGCCTTCTGTGAACAGCTCAGCGATCACACAGCCTGAGAAAAACAAAGAGAAGATGCTGCGGTCAAGTTTGAATGTGATTGCTTGATCGGTTAATGCTGAACACGTATCCCATTTATAGGAGGGTGTGTGCACTTGTGCAACTACATCGCAGTTGTTTATTTTTACTCTCCCCTCAAAGAGATTCGATTTATTTTTTCATTCGAATTTTAGATCAAAATCAACTTCAGCTGTTCGCGTGCGCAATCAAGTTTGCAGCTGTTTTTGAACGTGCAAACCTTTCAGGCCCACCTGCAGAGAAGATGTCCATGGCCTGCTTGAGCTCGCCTCTGCTCCTCTGGTTGCTGCTATTCAGGTCCACCAGTGGCGTGTTCTGGTCACTCTCAGCGGCGAACATGCTACCGTCCACGAAACGCTCTGGCGCGATGTAGCACGTGCGACGGCGGGACGTGTCGAAGAAGTAGTTGAAGTCGGCGGGGTTGTCTTCGGGAAGGTAGGTGGGCTTGAAACTGGCGAAATCACTAAGCAGCACCCAGTTCCAGCTGGTCACCATCACGTTCTCTGTCTTGATGTCGCCGTGCCGCACGCCGGCCTTGTGCGCCTGGTCCACGGCGGTGAGGATCTGGAAGGCCAGCCAGCGCTTCTCCACATTGTTCAGGAATGGCCGCGTGCTGATGCGGTCGTACAGGTTGTCGCGCACGTACTGGCGGAAGAGAATGGCGGCCTTCTCCGTCAGCGAGGTCTTCTGGAAGGGCAGACAGTTGTGGCAGGAGTGCAAGCGGATCTTCAGCTCCTCCAGCTCCTGCTTGTAGCTGCTGAGCGGCAGTGACGGGTCCTGGATGGCAAACACCTTGACCACCAGCATCCCCTCGCGGTGCTTGGCGCGCGCCACCTTGAAGAAGCGCGTGCTGCCCAGGCTCTTGTCGTACTCATGATCGTGGATGTCCGAAAAGTAGCTGTCCACCGACAAGATCTGCGACGGGGCGATGCCCGCCAGCTGGTTGCCCATCACCTCTGCAGGGGGCTCAAAGGGAAATGTTAGTCGTGATTAATCCCGTAACACACTGACTTATCAAAACTACAAACTGGTTTGGTAAATAGGAATCAATCACGCTTTTTAATGCCCATCCTGGTTGAAATTTACAGTCAAACAAAAAAATAAAACAAAGTGACTTACATGTATATTTAAAACAACCACATAGCTTTGCCTCAAGAAAGAAAGCTGAGCTTTATGCTAACAAAACAATGCAAAACGCCACTGACATGCTAATTGTTAACATTGATAATCACAGTTTTGGAATCCTTTAAGCAATGCATATTTGAATACAGACAGTGACGTTACTAACGTAGACAATAGAAGGATACACCTTGGCATGTATTCTTTATACTCTACACAAAATGACTAATGTTACAGGATGTCTTGGTAGCGTCTTCAATTGAATGTTGGCTGGAGATGATTTGCATTAGTTTACTAAGGTTTAGTTTTGCATACTAGTAGTCCAAAAGTGCCACTGATCATGGAAAAGGGTTACTAATATTTTTCTTTTGCGACCTAATCGTACTACAAGTCATTTTGTCCTACTAGTAAGTACAAAGAGCGTTCTGGTAGTACAAGGAACTTTCATGGATATCAAGGATAAATACAATACAATACAAATACAGTTTAAGTCTGTACTGTTTACCATCTGACGTCGTCGTGTGACTTTTCATGCCAATATTTTTATTTTAACTCCGTGTTTTATCGTTGTAGTTCTGATAAGCGAAATTTGCACACAGGTTCGAAAATGTTGAAATTCGAAAAGAGCCGTCACATGACATCTCGTTAGCATCCCGTTAGCTTTTCGGCTAACTATTATTAGTGCAACACTCCAAAGCGTCCGCGTAAAAATGGCAGGAAATGGTGGGAAAAGTCGTGTTACCTGCGGATGGCGAGGCTGAAGTAATCGCTGCGGGAGTTCTTTTATAAAGTCAGTGGGGAAGAAAAAAAGAAAAGAATAAAGGAACCTTTTCGGGAAACGAGCGAGATGAAGCGAAGGGACTGCGTCGAACAGCTGTTGTTGTGATTCCGGGTCAGTCTGACTCGTCACTCGGTAGTCGCCCCGTGAAAAATAAATACGGTGATCTTTACAACTCATTGGCCACAGCACTAAGTAAGATAAAATTATAATGATATCTTACGGTCGGTTCGGAGTCAAAATATTAAAATATAAAGTTGTTCGTATGATACAATAGTTGTATTTAAAAAAAACAAAAATAATTGCTTCACCTTTTGTTTGAATTATTTACGATAAGAGATTAAATCACAATGATGACTGGTGAATAATCTTTATTCTTAAAAAATGAAATGTTATTTCATCAAAAAGATGTTTTGTATGGAAATTGTTCCTTGTAAAAAGGAAAACAGAGTAAACAGGAAATGACAATTTGTGCTTTCAAAGTAAAACGCCTAACACGATTTGACAGGCACAGAACCAGGAAGCCCAAATTATTCAAAAATGTCAATACACGTGAATGTACATTCAACTATGTTGTACAGTATTTCACTCCAAACTTAACAAATGATCGATTCATAATACTAATCCACGATACATAACTTGGGCCCCTGAGAAAGTTTGACATGACAAAATTACGGTAACTTTACCGATGTGCAATCAAACCCTGGAGTCATACCTGGTTATACAAATAACAATTTTTGTAGTAAATTGTCATTTTCCCAAGTGTTGTCCTCATAAAAATATGTAATAAATGTGATTTCTTCATACAGTATTTATTCATACTAGCGACACAATGTCTATCTAAATAAAACTATCCATAACGGTGAATGGAGACAATATAAAAGTATTTTTGGTGGAATGATACAAACACATTTCGCCATAAAATGTGAATTTAAAGAAAACAAGAAAAACTTTGGTTGTCCAGGGGAGGAGAAGTCAAGACGTTGTTCTCTTCAGCTTTGACACAGGAGGCATTGCGACACCCTCCTCCGCCTGTTGGTTATAACGCCGTCTGGATGCCTGCGACGCTCACATTCTTGAATCTTCAAACACCACACTCACGCTGGGCACAGGCTCCTGACTGGAGGGTAGAGTAACAACAGCAACATTGTCAATAACATTCTACATGATTCTGCGGCATCATCGATGACATCGTCCAAAACATCCACCCATCCATTTGCTTATCCTCACGAGGGTCGCGGGGGATACTGGAGCCTATCCCAGCTGTCTTCTGGCAGTAGGCGGGGGACATGCTGAACTGGTTGCCAGCCAATCGCAGGGCACACAGAGACGAACAACCATCGGCGCTCACATTCACACCAAGGGACAATTTGGAGTGTTCAAACAGCCTGCCATGCATGTTTTTGGAATGTGGGAGGAAACTGGAGTACGCGGAGAAAACCCACGCAGATACGGAGAGAACATGCAAATACCACACAGAAAGGCCGGAGCCGGGATCGAACCCTGCCGACATGCTAACCAGTCAACAACCGACCTGCCCTTCATCCACAACATCAATGACATAAAGTAAGCTATATTGTGTTTCATCCTCTATGCGCCGCACTACACTTGCAAAATTTGGAGCTATCATTTGGGTTTAGGAGTTTTACAGTATAGAGTCCAAATTTAGAATTCCTTCAGTGTCATCCAGTGTTGTACTACGTGGAGCTGCAACATAAAGAGCAGCACTGGGGTAGAGATGCTGCATAATTAACAGCAAGAAGAAGAGATGGATATGGAGAATGTTGACTTGTTTACAGGGGCTAAAGCTAGCTTAGTATTGCTAGCACAGCTATTATTGTTCTCTTGATCACAACTACGCACTTTCATAATTGCATGCCATCATCGATAACGTTAATGAACGCCACCATCAGTAACATCCACAATACACAAACTGACCTGCTGCTGTTTGGCTTCAAAACTTTGTTGGTGTCCGCCATCACGGAGAGAGACTTCCAGAAGCCAATTTTACCAATCTCACATGAGATGTTCACCTCGGATGGGTCTGTCCTACCCACGCATCCCCACACATGCACATACAGTTAGGCATGGGTGTGGTGATCTCACACACACACACGCACGCACGCACGCAC